CTGCTAGCGCGCGACTACATTGCAGCAGAAGCCGACGAAAAGCAAAATTTAACAGTTTTATTGACATCAAACGCTGAAGGTGAGCTCGTATCTCCTATGATTGTATTATAGATATGTTCGGATACCACAAGCAATAATTGGCAATATGCCTCCGAAATGGGCAGTATAATGGACATTTTTTGAATATATGAGAAATATATTTGAGCCTTTTCTGACAAAAATGAAAATACAGCGACCTGTGGTATTTTTTGTTGATGGCCATATATCACATATATCTCTGCCTCTCAGCCAGTTTTGTGTTAAAAAAGAAATTGAATTAGTGGCACTCTTTCCAAATGCTATGGATGTATTTTCCAACCTATGGATGTAGCTCTATTCCACACAATTAAATCTTGTTGGAGGCAAAAAGTTGTGCGGTGGAGAATTACGAAAATGGAAAACAAGTGGAGAAGCAAGACTTTCCAAAGGTACTAGAAAAAGTATTACAGCTCCTTAAACCAGAGACCATCCAACATGGGTTCACTACTAATTACTTAGTGTCTTGGGATCCACCAAAAGTTACAGTTTTAGCAGCCAATTCCCCTGTCGTATTAAACAGCAAATCAGACCTAAATAAATTTAAAAATATGCTGGAAGTACATATTGGAGTCGACAAGTTGGAACTATTTAAATCTGCTAAAACCAAGTGGAATTGAAGTATTGAGGAAAAATATTTCTATGAATTTTAATTTAATATCAACAATAGATTGAATCCCGAAGAACATCTTCTTTCTCAACAAAAGCTATTAGAAACCAATGAAATTGAGCAAAGTCAAGAAAATCAAATTGAGGTGGACCATACCTCCTCGTCTAATCTTACCAGAATAATAACCCTCTCTTAATAACTCATCAAGCTACCCCACGTAAATGTTCTAGTGAACATTCACTGACACTAGGGACTAATTTGCCTAGGACTTTTAATGAAGGTCCATCTTTAAGTCAGGGTCCCTCAAATCAAAATTACCAGTTTATCCCATCTCCATTTAAAAGAACTCTTTTCTGGCTTAATGAGTCTACAGTGGAGAAAAAAATTTGAAGAAAGGAAAATACTCCAGCTGTAGTTACATCTTCACAAATGTTTAATTATAGAAATAAGGAAAAGAACAAGAAAAAGAGAAGAAACGAGCAGACAGAAGAGAGGAAAAAAATCAAGGTCTAAAGCTTGCAAAGAGAAAAACTAAAGCCATTTCTAGATCATCTTCATCGAATGACAGTGATGCCACTTACCAAATTTGGTAGAATCTGAATGGCAAGAAGAAGACAATGATGACCGGAATGACATGGGAACTTTAATTGAAGAAGGCAAAAACATTAAAGAAGGGGACTTCATTCTAGTTACCTTTTAACTAGAAGTGTCTTAACAGCTTCAGAGATTACTATGAAAGACAGTAAAGAAATATTAATTAATTCATTAATTAAATAAAGACAGAGTCAAAGAAAAATTATGTAGAAAAACTTCAATCACCTATGTTTAGTTCCAAATAAAATTGTATTCATCTCTTGAGTTGTATTTTTAAAGTAATACTAGTGCACTGATAATGGTTCATAATTGGAGGGTCCATAATTGGTTTCAATGCTACGTTCATAATTATTTCAAGTACCTTGATAGGTAAGTAATTTATCAAAAAAAAAAAAAAAAAAAATTTAATCATGTAGCAATAAAAATCACACCAACTATATCTCAGCAAAGGGTTGAAATTTGCAAAAATTATATCAAATTGAAATTCTTGCTTTATGTTTGACCGCAGTGTTTTAAGAAATCCGGTACATCATTGGTACATCTACCTTACTAAGCAATTTAAAAATATTGACTTGAAAATTTGGTTATTCGTTTGGTTGACTTGGCACTGTTAACTTCCATGCATTTGTGTAAATTTTCTCCTGTTTGTCAGTCGCTTATCTTTCTCAAGACACATATTCATTCAAAGAGTAAGTCTAACAATTATTACTTATCATTTAACATTTGATAAATATGTATAATACGATAGGTAGGTACTTTATAATAAATTAAAAGAGGGGCATATTAAGGAAATTTAAATAAAATTTCTTCATTTATTGTGTTTTTGAGATAGGTGCAAAACAATAAAAATTGGAGTCTGCTTCTATTGGTTTATTAACATTTTATTTTTGATCTCTTTTCCAAAATTACTTTAAATGTTACGATTTAAATTAATTTGAGTACGGTCCGTCCCAAACCCTTTTTTCAGTGCGTCACTAAATGTGACGTCATATAGGATTTTAAGAATGTCGAAAATTATTGCTTGACATTTTAGTTAAATCTGACAGTTGCAGGAACGTAATCGACTAAATGTGAAAAGGTTATTTTTTTAAATAGGTATGTAGTCTTTGTTCTTTCTCGGTATATCTCGGCATATTTAAAATATTTTTATGACAATAAATACAAAATTAAATTTTTACTGTAAAATGTCTGAAAATACTAACTTGGAATGACAATTATCATTTTATCAGTTGACATTGTGAAAGTATTGTCATGATCAAGATAATCTGCGTCAAATTATATTTATGCGCATCATTGATTGGATATCTATTTAGCGTATTCTAAACTCCAACCAATTATACATCCGTAAGTAGAATTCGCTTTAATATGCAAATACTCGTGAACGATACATAATCACTACGTGCGTTCGTAGTTCTCTGACATAATTTTCTATGTTCTATGTATAATAATCACAGACTCACGTCTTTTTCTGTCACTTCCAGCTTTATGCGTTAGAGAGAATTCGATCAACTATGACGCACTGAAAAAAGGGTTTGGGACGGACCGTATATATATTTTTTGAAATCTTTGTTTTATATGTCGTGTTCTAAAAGTATGAAATAAAATTATAAAAAAGTCAACTTATTTTAAATTCAAAAATAATTTTTCTTGATAAAAATAAAAATGTCAATGCTTATCTTTTATAGGTACACTTCCCGTCATATAAAACTGGTACACTTTTATTTCCCAATGTAAACCTGTGTTCAGAAATCAATTGGTGTTTGCCATTACAGATAACGGAATTGCACTAAATCTAAATAAAAAAATAATGTTCAAAAATGTATAAAATTTTTAAATAGGTATTATTTTTATCATTACCAAAAAAAAACTGAATCTAAGAAATTAAATAAGCAGAGAGAGGCTTAAGTTATTATCCAAAATATTTGAAGGATCTTTAAAACTAGGGTATTTGCACAGGGAACATTGGATTCCATCTGCTGTAATTTTATACTTCAATTACCTACTGAACTCAAGCTGTATTTTGTGTCAATAAGTTTTGTAACAGGTTTTGTAACATAATATACTTTATCCTATGTATTATATACCAGAAAATATTCGTTTTGAAAAAACGCTTTTCAAAACATAACAGTTACAATCCAAAATCTCATTGTAATGTTTTATTATAATAATTTGAAGTTTGTCTAGATTGATTATCTGTCATTATTTTTAAATTGAAATATTTTCATAAATTTTTATAAGTAAAAGACAAATCAATGTATGGGTACTTAATTGAGATGATGGAAAATTACAAAATTAATATGAGAATTTTTTAGTATGCATGTTTAAACAAATTTAATGTGACTGACTGATCGAGAATGCTCGATAATGTTTTAGTTTTTAGTATACTCAAAACTGGCGGTCTGTCACACAGCCTTGCTTTTAGATGGTTTTATATATTTTCATTGAACTGGCAACGATTTTTGATTATAAGAGTTGTACCAGTTTTTTATGAAGGGAAACGGTACATAAATAGTTATTCTCAACAATTTTCTTTTTTCGGGATATAACTAAATTATAATTTTTTGGTGTTTTTTTTTTATATAAAAATGAAAACATTTTATAACACTAAAATATTTCATATTTTCTTTTCCTGTGCCTACATCACAATGAAGAACAGCCGTGTTGTTCACAGTCAGGGCCGACAGATTAACTAGCATGTATATCAATTTTTGAAAAAATAACAAGAAAAAAATAGAACATGAAATCTTGTTTTGAATATGGTTGTTAAAGCCACTGGAATTTCTAAAATTGGTGTCCAAATGGTTATTAAAGAAAGAAAGACACTTTCCGATTTTTCATCTCCTTCAGGCAGCTTGGGGAACATTTTTAAATCCCCAGAAAAAAATAATTCAGCCAAAACCAAAAACAATTGTTGATGTTTGATAAGAAGAAATTATGAGAAACACAAGTTCATACCTTTGCAATGATTCATGGGAGCAGACCTACAATGTTAGCTGTTTACAACGCTGTTAAGGATGATATTAATTTCCAAGGAAAATTATCTTCATTTAGAAAAGTGGTGAACAAATTAGGTTTTAAATGGCAAAAAAATAAGGACAACAGAAAAATATAGTTTTATAGTTTTATGGTGTATCCATATTAAATAATTTAGTTGTTCCTATCTGCAATATTGGTTCCAATACTGCTTTTCTTTTAGGTTCGTAAGGCAAAAAACGACCTCAATAACTATATTTTGGGATATTTTTCATATGGTTGAGTGACTCACAGCTAAGTGACTAAACTTACATTAAAAGTATGATAAATTATTCAGTATTTTGAAATAATTTATATACATTTTAAACAGTACCCCACAGAGTGAATAGTGAGTGATATAATATTGTACTAAGAATCCCAACCTATTGATATAGATTTATATGGAAACCAACTGAGCATAGAATAAAAAATAATAGTAATTTTACAATTAGTATTTCATGACCTAAATATAAAAAATACTGACACTAGATCATGAAAATTATTATTTAAACTTAATACATTTTGAGTTCTGTAATTTATTTGGATTATAACAAATTTCACGAATTTTAAGATAATAAATTTATATTCACTGTTTTGTCTACAAAGAAGAGCAGAAGGGATTTAAGTTAGAGATAATCATATTTACATTTCAAATAATAGTAATTGCATACACTTGTAAATATGACTCGATGAGTAATCGGCAAATCTGTCAGGTGTTCGCCGAATAATGACGTAACGAAATGTCAAAATTTAATTTAGATTTGGAATTATGAAGTTCGGAAACACAAACCTCTCCGAAGAAAGCATCCATGAAGCCGTCTCTGCCCTCGACATTAACGGCAACATCATCAGGGCCCACATCATCATCATCACTTTGGGCCTAGAACAAAAAATAAAAACAATTAAAGGAAAAAGGGACAGCTTATCAATTAAGATTGATGAGGAGAGGTGGGGCTAGAATATGAATGACATTTCAGTAACAGTTTCTCCACCTAACCTATTTGTTCGGATTTTAACAATAATTTCTCATTTAATGGGCAAAAATCTTACTCCAACATATAGTATTTTAATTGTCTTTGAGGTGGACCAACTGTCATTAAAGGAAAATGATTTTTAGGTCAAATTTTATTTGATTTATCTTGGGAGATATGTGATATGTAGGAAGATCAAGACCTACCGCAACAAGGGCTGCTAATCTATCCTTTGTCATTTTAATCCGATCTTAGTATCACAAACCACTAAAAACTTGAGTTTTAGAAAATAATCCCATTCAAACTATTGTTTAAATACGAGCACAACTACAACGAACTCCCGACAAAACTTGAAGCGAACGGCCACCAGTTTTCCACACAAAAATCGATAGAGTTCTGCAGTACGGACACTTTACTACGTCTGCGCCAATGACGTTGAATTTTCACGTGACGTCACTCAATAACTTCGGTCTTTATTAATTTTTTTCTAATAATTGACAATCAGTATTTATGTTTGACTTAAAAAAATGACATTAGATTGAATTTTAGAAGGTGCTTAAATATTTGGTTATCATAAACTATTTAGTGTAAAAAATATTTGGCGCGCATTCCTAACACCTACTCCCGTCTTCTTGTGAACGCCATTGTGAACTCTAACGACTTTGGAACCAAGCTGAAGTAATCCGTGATTTTTTGTGCCATCGGTGTTTCCTAGTACTTTTTATTCAAAAGGTAAATATTATTTTTTGTACTGAACGTATTTTACGTTTTATTTTTGCAATTACTGCATTAGTAACATCGTAAATTATTAATAAAGTCGGTATCTCAATACCAAAATCCTTTGTAACGTTCTAGGAGCGCCATTTAGCATTGAAATTAAAAAGTTCTGAAACGTGCTTTGCAATTTCATTTCTGAATGTTGAATTTTCGTAATTTGATAAATATTTTCAATATTTGAGCTTTGAGTGGTATAAATTGGAAGAATTTCCTAAGAAAATGGTATTGTACTGTTAGTGACAAGGTTATATTAAAAACACAATAACAAATTTTAACCCTTAAATTATTTTCTTCTTGTTTGATTACTAACTCTTAAATATAAAAGATTTGTAAGATGTATAGTTTTTATTTACATATTCGTTACAGGATATATAAACGAAAAGTAAGCACTGAGGAAGTCGTCATTTGGCGGCAATATGGTATGTGCAAACTGTATAAGTAATTTTTGTATTTTTTAGTTTAAATTCAAAGAATCATGGCTGGAGAACAAGATATGCCCACCTTCAAATGCGTCTTGGTCGGAGACGGAGGCACCGGCAAAACTACCTTTGTAAAAAGACATATGACTGGTGAATTCGAAAAGAAATATGTAGCCACCTTAGGGGTAGAAGTTCACCCTTTAGTTTTTCACACAAATAGAGGACAAATTCGTTTTAATGTATGGGACACAGCAGGCCAAGAAAAGTTTGGTGGTCTGCGTGATGGATACTACATCCAAGGACAATGTGCCATAATTATGTTTGATGTTACTTCTAGAGTCACTTACAAAAATGTTCCAAACTGGCACAGAGATCTTGTTAGAGTTTGTGAAAATATTCCAATTGTATTGTGTGGAAACAAAGTTGACATCAAAGATAGGAAAGTTAAGGCAAAGAGCATTGTCTTCCATAGAAAGAAGAATTTACAAGTAAGTTGGTGTCTTAATATCATTATATTCTAGTTATAAATTATTTGACAATCATCTGATTGTGTAAAAATGGCAAACTTATATTACTTTAGTTAAAAATAAGTTCAATATGTAAAATAATCATATCTAAAATTTTCTAGGTATAGGTAACATTTTACCTGAGTCTTAGTTTCTATCTAAGTTCAAAACAAACAAGCTGAAAAAGTTATAAATGTTTCTTTTAATATTGTTCTGATGCTATTTTCTTGTGGCATCTTAATGAAGATACTATTTGCATTCGGAATAAGCTGCAAGTTTAAAAAAGTTTATTTTGATTTTTTAATTTCTACTTCAGAAATCATTCGTTTAATATATATCGTTGTTGAGCGAGCAAAATCTGCTATGTGTAGAAAACTAAATTTTACAGGGGAGACATAAAACTGTTTTGTTTGAAAATGGTATGTTGTGTATGATAGTTGTTTATAAAAGATATGTAAAATAATCATATGGTTAATGTAATAACATATTTTACTAAGTCTGAAATAGGCACAAAGAGTTATTTTTGTTTTTGTGAAAAAAATTACATAGCAGATTTTACTTGGAAGATTTTAGTAAATAGCGGATTTTGTCTAACATGTTCAAATAATTTTTTTCTTTTAATATTGAATTAAAAATAAAACAAATGAATATTCAACTGTGTTTATTGTAAATTTAAAAAAAAATAGAAACTTTTAAACGAAACATTGAAGTTACTGAAATTTGTAGTTTAGTTTAAACTTATTTGTCTGTCATAGAATGCATGACTTTCCCAGTCTATAAATCTTCTGAGATCTTGCAAATTATCATATTTTTGTTGTCAATAGGTCGTGGACTATCATAAAGCTTAGGTGTGGGGTTGAAGAGTGTGTCGGGGCATCTTTGTGGCAGCAAAGCATAGTCCTCAGGATGTCGAATTTTGAATTATACACACCCATCAGGAGGGTATTTGAGTGCTCGTATGTCAACAACTTGTGGATCTCCTACAGGCTTCCTCGGTCTTATGCTGTTGAAATTTGATGGGACACTTTCATAGTTTAAAAAACTCGTAATGTACTTGATTCATAACATAAGGCTGACGCGGTAGTGCGGATTTCATTAGTGTTACATAGTGAAATGGCGTCCATATTGAAGCTACGAACACAGATTCCAGTGTCAAGTGAACCGAGTCTACTTCCATCATAGTATGAACAGATTCAAGTATGATCTGCTCAATTGTGACTTTTAATTCTTTAGCCAGATCACTTAGAGCACTGCACAAAACTTTGTTTTGGTTGTGATAATTGCAAACATCGGATTATATCGGAACTCTGTATAATTACGCAGACAGTTACGAATGAAGTCCACAATACATGACGTAAATTCGTTTGATGATACCTGGTCATTGACTTCGTGCCATACGTACATGAATACATCTCTTGATTTCAGGTGATACAATGCAAAATTGTGCAGTTGAATTGAAGTTTATGCCTATAGTAAGCAAGAGATGCAAGCAGTTTAGGACTCAATTGAACACACTACAAATCCATCGTTACTACAAGTCTTATTAAGAATTTCTGTGCTCATATCTCAATTTCACCAGAAAATGTACATAGCAGATTTTACCCCCACAACGACAATATATTATAAAACTATATATTTTTAAAATCGAAGTTTATCGTTTGACAAAAAGCTGTGAACTGTATAAGTGTTCACAGCAGTAGCAGTAAAGTATCCAAATTAATAGATCTCGCCTCTAATTCACTCAGTCATCCAACACAAATTAATTAAACTACTTTGATTATTTCCTAATGACAATGAACAAATACACACTAAAATTATTTGTTACATACATCTCTATTTAATAAAACAGTGCCCATGATGGGACTATGAAGTTATAATATTCGTCAACTTGCTCTTTGTATATGTACAATATTTGCAAATTATTCTTATATTTTATCCCTTTTTTACTCATAGAATATGTGAAAGGACAGTTATTCATATTGGGAACTTATCAAGTTTTAACAAGGTTCTAATTAAGGTTCAATTGTTGAATTCCTGTTCTGTAACATTTAAGGACATGTATTGGTAATATTGTGGTGAACATTGCCTTTTAAGTTATTAATAATCTCTAGCTTATTAGCGTAGACTAGCAATTTCACATAACCCAATTGAAAATAGTTCTGTAGTGTTATATCACACGATATTGGAAGTTAATTTGCCAGATAAAAAATATATTAATTTTGGCATGTGTGGAATGATAGTTACAGTAATCTTGTTGAAACCACTGCTTCTTAATATCGAGACAATTCAATTCAGAACCAGAAAACTTGTTGGTACTGACTTTTAACTATAACACTCTGGCCTCTATCATTTTTGAAAAAGTAAGGATGGATAATTCTTCCAGGTCATAAAGCATGGTAAATAGATAGTTGTTTTTCTGAATGTAATAAGTTCTTGATGATTATCTTCACCCTAAATGGTGGTTTTTCTTATTGATGTAACCATTAAATAAAAAGGAAGCTTCACTGCCGAAAAAAATTTTCTTGTGAAATTTGGATCAGCAGCAATCTCATTTTGGACATTTTTTTTAAATCTCATTTTTTTATCAAAAATTTTAATAGGTTTAGTTCTTATGTGTCTATGTATTGTCTATAAGAGTAATTAATTATTCCACTATATGTTGTGAATCATATTTTGGAATGTCATGTTTAAAAATAGAATTCTAATTATATGATTAAATTGAATTGATGAATTGACATGATTAAATTAGGTATTATAAATGTGTATTTTATTTTATAAATAAAAATATTAATATTTTATAAATAATCCATTACAGAATTTAAAATATACAGGTTTTAACAATTGGAAACATCTTTTTAATAATGCATTTATTATTGAACTTATTTTTATTGGAGCAAAATCTGTTTAAATAAGTAAAATATTTAATTTCATCTTCCTAAAATATAATTGATTGATTGAAAAATAATTAGATTCAGTATTAAATTAAAATGAAAATATCAAAAATAAAGAAAACCATGCAAATTGAACCACTTATTTTGAGATCAAAAATATCGGATGTTGGATTTGAAGTTTCCATGAGAGCTATATTGATTTATGCTATATATATATATATATATATATATACAGTGTAGGAAAATTTTTATGGTCGGTATGGTAAAATTTAACAGGATATCTAACGCAGATATAAAATCATATTTTCAACGAATTAGACAAAGATAACAATCATATTTCCCCTTCGTCTCCCCTCTTAAAATCCTTTTAACACTCATTGGCCATTGCCCATTGGTGAGACGATTAGTTCCGATCAGATATTCTCTGGTTCCGATCCTAATATACCTAAAAAACTAGAGGTGGGTCTTCTCGTTTTTTTAATTTTTATCGGAACCGTTTTTCGTAAACTGTAACTAGTTGATTGTTTACCAGTATTCAAATTAGCGAGTACACAAACATATTAGCTATTATCGTTTATGTGTATAAGTATTGAAATAAAAGAACCTAACGAAGGATATATTTATTGTAACTTGAAAAATAAATTAAATAATAAAAATGGTACTTAAATAGTTACATTTACATTACACATTATTAAATCGCGAATCGTCTAAATTGACATTTAAAAACATAAGTTTTTCCACTTTTCTTGTTAATCGCGTTCTTCTTTTATTTAAAATTATACCAGATGTTAAACATGTGTTCACAAGGAAAAGATTTTGTTACAATACTACAACATTTTATGAATATAGTGGTTAAGTTACGATATACATGGCGATGGTTTTTTCACCACGGTAATGGACAATCTCCGTTCGAAATTGTTTGTGGGTAATATATCATCAGACAATTACATGTCGACTTCTTTTATACCTCTCGATACAGGTGTATGTTTAGATGAGTCATGTCCAATTAATTCATCAAAAATACACCATGGACTTAAGTCATCTTTATCAGTTTCTTTTTCTTGGACTGATTGATTTTCAAGATTTACTAAACTTTTCGTTTCATCCGTTTTCCATAGTTAAAGAACCAGCTTTTAAAAAGTTTGCAGGGTGGATTCCTGGATATAAACCGCCAACAAGAAAAACTTTGTCAGGTTCATTACTTCAGGAATGTTATGTCAAAAGTGAGCAAATTATTAGATCGCAAGTTGTTAAAGAAGTAGAAAATATCTGTATTACTACTGACCTCTGGACATCTGGAGTAACTGAGAGTTACTTCGCATTAACAGGACAATATTTAACCGAAAATTTAGTATTCAAAACTTTTTTATTAGGCTGCTGCCATTTTTCTGGAAACCATAATCCAGAAAACAGCGATTACTGAAATCATTAATCAGTCGGGTCTAAAACGAAAAGTAAATTTTGCAGTAACTGATAATTCCTAAAATATGGTCAAAGCTATTAAATATGTTTTGTTTTATGATGATTGTGATTTATGATGATGATTAAATTTATTGGTGGGGGACGCACTTAAATGCTGTCGTGTACAAATAGATAAAATAAAAAGTCCTTTTTTCGACAATTCTGCAAAAAACACATTTCAAAAAAGTACCTTATCTTCAGAAAGGCTTTTAAAGTATTAATTACAACAGAACACAGTTCCCAAACGGCCAATCCAAGACGTGGAAACTAGGAAGAACTTCACCTATTACATGTTAAAAAGAATGACCGAGTTAGAAGAGGCAACCCGTTCCACATTGGTATTAAATAATACAGACTTAGACTTAAACCTAATCTAAATAAAGAACACTGGATTATTTGTTCTCAACTTTCCCAAATTTTACGGCCGTTTAAAGAAATAACAAGTACAATGAGTGACCAAAAATACTTGAATGCTAGTTCAGTGATTGTTATGGTACGCTGCCTGCAAGAATCTTGCAATAAAATTTTAGCAAACGGCATACTTACATCCATAGTATATGACATAGTACAATTACTAATATCGGGTTTAGCAAAAAGATTTAGCAGAAGCATCATATCAGCAGATGGCAGAGTTAAGATAGATGTACAAAACCGAATAACCCAAGGGAAAAAATGCATCCGAATACTGAATTCATTACTGTGGTCTAATAAAATAAAGATGCATACCAAACTTCGCGTATACAGAGCAATTGTAGAACCAATTACCACATATGGTGCCGAATGTTGGACGATGACAAAGAATGAACGAGATAAAGTAGACGTTGTGGAAATGGATTATCTTAGAAGGTCATGTCGAGTATCGAGAATGGAAAGAATCAGGAATGAGGAAATACGAAACCGTACAGGAATTAGAGATACTCTTTCAGATAGAATACAAGGAAGGCAATTACAATGGTATGGTCACGTGATGAGAATGGAGGAGGAGCGGTGGCCAAAGAAACCCTTAATGTATGTTCCGCCAGAAAGAAGGAAAAGGGGAAGACCACCAAATTCCTGGAGAAGAGAAATTACAAAAACAATGCAATCTAGAGGCTTAGAAGAGGGAGATTGGGGAGATAGGAAAAGATGGAGGCTGAAATGCGGGAAGCGGCAATCGCCGTAGGACCCCCGTTATATGATGATGATGATTGTTTAGTTTATTTTTCAAGTTATAATAAATATATCATTAGGTAGTTTCTTTCACTTCAAAAGATATACACATAAACGATAATAGCCGTTATGTTTGTTTATGTAGGTACTATCTTACTTGAAACTACTTTTAAACAATCATAGTTACTTGTTTATGAAAATTAAAAATTTTAAATGCTTTTTAGCATTCAAAAAAATTTAAATTTTTTTGGAATCCTGAGAAAACTAACAAATATTTTTGAAAAATTTAAATGCAGAATGAAAGATTACATTATTACCGAGGGCCGAAGGTCCCTTAGAATAAACAAAATGTTTTTTTAATGAGATATTTGAAATTAAAAATCACACTAAATTTTGTTTTTTTTTTCATCCCTATAACTTATTAAAATAAACATTATAGAAGTTTTCAGGGACTTTAAGCTCTCGGTAATAATGTATTGTTTCATTCTGCGTTTAATTTTTTCAAAAATATTTATTAGTTTTCTCAGGATTCGAAAAAAATGAATGCATTTAAAAAACTCTGGTCCGAAATTTTGCTCCTAAGCTCTTAACGATAAACTAGCACGACCCACCTCTACTTCTCGTTACTCGATCTTTTGACCAGACGTGACCAGACGACTATCTAGACTAGACGTTGCCAAATAAATTAGTGTATGAATATTTTTTAATTTGGCGTTATTGTATGCATGTTTAATTGTTTATTATTTCATATTGGGAAATTATTTTGATGTTTAGATTTTTAGTTCGGAAATCGTACTTAAAATACGAAACATTAATAAATTTTATTTATATAAAACGATTTCCGAAATGGAAATCAAAATGTTATATTACAATTATTGTAAAGAAAACTTGTGGCATATTCCCAATAAAAAAAACAGTAACCTGCCATTTAAATCAATTTCGCCCAAATTTGATTATCTTGAGCATTTTATCTTCTTGATAGAACATTGTTCAAATGCAAAAAAAGACAACAGGTCAAATAAAACCAATAAGTTTGGCAACGTTGAATTTCCCCTTTTTTAATATTTCCATTCGGCGATATAAAGGGCGTACCTAATATACCTCTCTCTTTTTAAACAGCTGTTTCTCACTCCATCTCACGTAAGGTCCATACCGACCATAAAAATTTTCCTACACTGTATATATATATATATATATATATATATATATATATATATATATATATATATATATATATATATATAATGAACCAGAAGCATTTGCTGACCACGTAAGGAAGTAAACTTTAAATATTGAGTATGCAGCAATAAAAATGAAAGGTGTACTCTTTTAAATTTTTATTCCAAGCTTTCGGACATTGGTTATGTCCTTCATCAGGGAGAGAAACTTAATGAGGTTGTATCATAAATGATTTTATAAAAAATGTTGATAAAATTTATCACAGTCTGTTATATCTGTTGAGCTAAAACCTATTCCTATATTTAAAATTTTAAAAAATTACTTTACATTCACACAAACTTAATTATTATACACAAATCTATGACATTGATATTGGCATTGAAGTGAAAATCTCACATCCCTAATCAAACAGTTTTTACCTATGTAATGTCAGCAGTCTTCCAATCAATACATTCCTTATCACTAGTGCTAAGTTCACCTCTTGTGTAGCACAGGTTTAGAATGAAAAAACAATGAATAATAATTACAAGTGTCTATATCCGATTTTTTTTTTTTGACAATTAATAAAAATTGGAAAATTGCAAAATATACAGTTATTACAGTCCCGTCATCAAAGATTTGACCCGTAAAAATCATATAAACAAGCTGAATTTTGCGGAGAATATCAATTTTGGTCCCAAAAAAAATTTTACCATTTTTACCCCCCGAGCTTCCTCCTAAAACCACTCTCGTAGAGGTTAAAAACTCAAAAAAAATCAATTTATCAAAAACCTGCACGCCCTAAAAAAATGTTTCAAATAAAAAATGTGGCTGAGATGATTTTGAACATAAATGTTAAGTAGCATCTTTTCTGTAGAATGAACGTTTAGCTCAGAAATAACGCTTGAAACAACCGGCGGTTTTGAATGTCAGTGGCGTGCGCGAAATTAATGTTAAATAACATTGTGTATCAAATTGACTATAAAAATTCGATATCTTTTGCGTTTTAAAGGTGAAGAGTGCTTCTTTCTTGTGCTATTTTTATATTTTGTCACAAATGATGCCATGATCATCATCATCATCTTTGGCTCTACAACCCTGGGTGGGTCTTGTCCTGTTCAAGAATATGTCTCCATTCCCCCCTATCTTTCGCCCTGGCTTTCCAATTTCTGACCCGTAGATTCCTCAAGTCATCTTCGACTTGAGTTTTGAATCTAGATCTTGGCCTGCCTCTCTTCCTGTTACCTACTGGCTCTTGATAAAATATCTGTCTTTTTATAAATCTGATCAATAAATAAACATTTCGCATTTTTTGACATGAAATGTGAATTTTGAGTTGTGACAACAAATATGAGGAAGGCATTTGAAATATGATAAAACTCAGAATTTCATCTTCTATATTACAAACAATCACAGCTGACAACGATGTCACTGAAGAAATAAAAGACAGAATCCAATCTGCAAACCGCTGTCTATTTGCACTGGATAAGCTCATAAAATTTAAAAAATCTCACAAGAAGTTCAAAGATCAAAATCTATAAATACATCGTCAGACCTGTAATAACATACGGATGCGAAACGTGGACCATGACCAAAGCAAACGAAGAAAATCTCAGATGCTTGGAACGAAAAATACTTAAAATTTTCGGACCTCACCATGACATCACCACAAACCAGTATAAGATCAGAACCAATATCGAATTAAAAGCACTCTACAACAACGCCGATATTGTGCAAGAAATTAAATCACAGCGACTAGGATGGGCAGGCCACATGCACAGACTGCATAACGAAAGACTTGTAAAACTGGTATGGGAGGAGATTCCCACAATCAAAAGACCACTCGGACGTCCCAGAATGCGATGGAGATATAACATCCAAGCAGATCTCCGGAAAATGAACATTCTAATTGACCCTAGGTTGATGAAAGACTGAACAAATTGAAAAAAGTTGTACAGTCAGCCAAGACCCACCCAGGGTTGTAGCGCTACGTGATGATGATGATATTACAAACAATCGCACGTCACGGGAAATACCTCCAAGATGGTTTTGAGTATAATTTGTAGCAGAACATGGGTGGTTTTAAAAAACATACTAGCGTAATTGAAAAAAAAAACAGTTTTAGATCGTTTGTAATGTAAAAGTTTAAATTCAGCGTTTTTTATGCCTGTTTAAATGCCTCACATTTGTTGCCAAAACTTGAAAACTAAAATTGCATGTTTTTATGTTCAAGTTTTAAATATTAGGCTCTAGTTATCGAAACTCCACAGTGGCCGGTTAATAAAAGGGATAAATTATATTGATCTCATGAGAATCATAAAAATTGGCAAAAATCGTGCCACATATATTTATTTAACACCTTTATAACAACTCAGTTTATTTGCGGCAAAATACAAAAATTGCGTATACAAGCTGCACTCTTTACTTTTAAAACGCATCTTGATTTTTGTCGATATTACACTCTTATCAAAAGATGCCGATTTTTTAGCGTTGAGCTGATACAAATTTTATTGAACATTAATTTCGCGCGCGTAACTGGCATTAACAATTATCGACCGCTTCAAGCGTTCTTTCTGTTCATTCTACACAAAAAATGCTAATGAACATTTTTGTTCAAAATTATCTTAGTTACATTTTTTATTTGAAATATTGTTTTATGGCGTACAGATCTTGCTAAATCGATTTTTTTTTTTTTTCATTTTCCTTGCTCTATTAGGAGAAAGCCCCTGAGTCTAAAAGTGGTAAATATTTTTGGTGTCCTAAAATTGACATACTCATCAAAATTTGGCTTGTTCATATAATTTTTAGAGGTTCATTGGCATTTTCTTCGTCTCTGACGACTGGAGTAATATATATATATATATATATATATATATATATATATATATATATATATATATATATATATAAATGAAAATTATGGGACTTTTTATTGTTCATTTTATAATTTGTATCAGTTCATTGAAATTATTTCTTCTACTGATTGATTTATTCTTTAGAACATTTGTAATTAAATATGTACCTTAATTGTAAACATTTTTAAGCCTTTTTTTTATTTTACAGTACTATGACATCTCTGCAAAATCCAATTACAATTTCGAAAAACCCTTCTTGTGGTTGGCTAGGAAACTCATTGGAGATCCCAACTTAGAATTTGTAGCCGCGCCTGCCTTGCTTCCTCCAGAAGTCCAAATGGATCCCCAATGGCAACAACAAATTGAAAAGGATCTTAAAGAGGCCTCAGAAACTGCACTGCCTGATGATGATGAAGATTTATAAACTCATTAACCAATTACTAAAACTCTGTCATCAAGTCCAAAGCAACCCTGGAATCATTAAAAATATTAGTTTATTATAATTTTATTGAACTGAGCTTGTGGTAGTGATGACAGTAGCGATAGGGGGAAATAACGATAACACATTTTTTAACTGGGGTGCTACTCAAATAAAAACTGCGTGTGTAACAATTGATATCTTACAAGACTTAGTTAAATTACGTTGTATGTATTTCTGAAGAAGAACTGTTGATATTTTTATATAAATGTTTTCTAAATTTGTTGAAAGGTTTGTCTGGACGTATGTTCTTCAATATTAGTGGTATGGTTGTTAGAATGTAACTTTATGAGTCAGCTAGCTACCGTTTGTAACAGTTCTTGTCACATAGGAGTGTAGTCTTAATTTCAATAAATATTTTTTCTGTATTGTTACTTTTCTTGATGTACTATATATACCCTTTTTAATTCACCCTTGTTTATGGAAGCTAAACCTAAAATTGATATTTATATCATATTCTTGTTTAACACAAGTAAGAGAAGAATTGTCCACCGTTGTAGAAATGAGTGTTTGAATATATTGACTGCTGAAGGCAAAAAATTACCAAACACAATTTGTTGAATTTACACTAGAATAAAAGAATCTTACAAAAGAATTAAAACTTCTGGTATATAATGGTCTATTATTTTGTTAAAAATAATTAAAATGTGTCCAAAGGGATTACAATCATCCCAAAACGTTTTCGGTCCAGTCCGACCATTTCAGTGTAACGTGAAAGTATATTTCCACTTTAAAATGCCAAAAAAGGTAAAATTTGACAGTTAAATTTCTAAAATTGTGGAAGAAACAAGTATTTTCCAAATTTTTAGAAATTTGTCCTTTTAAAGTGGAATCTGTATTGTTTCACTGACGATGGGCTGACTGGGTCGAAAACGTTTTGCAATAATTGTAATTCTTTTATTTATTTATCAACGGGCAATCGCCCAATTATAATATAAAATGTAAACATAATTGATAAATTATGGAAGGTTCTTAATGTAACCTACTTAAATTAAATTTAAAAATTTTAATCATACAAAAAATAAAAGTATGAACAGTAAATAACACAAGGACAACAAGCTATCACACACAGTTTTAAAGCTTAGCTTTAAATTCTTTTGGAATACTATAACAATCCAACCTTTGGGAATATTGATTAACAAACCTTGGGGTTCTAGACGTGAAGGAATTGTGTCCGTAGTTTTTGTTTGTCTACTTAGAACATGGAGATTAATTATTTTCCACTAGTTGAAGACCAAAACTAATGAAGAGTGCAGTTTAGAAGACCAAAACTAATGAAGAGTGCAGTTTACTATAAAACAGTGAGATATTTGTGCACACATCAGATTTGGGGAGAAGTTATGTTGAGGTTGAGTTATGAACATATTTGAATAGTTAATTTCTTCCATTCGCTGGTTTTGTTTAAATGCGACAAATCTTAAGAATTTGTGTTGGAACCCTCTCAATAGCTTGAATATGGGTGTTATAGTGAAGAGACCAAACACATGAACAGTAATCTAGGTGGGGTCTCACAAGTGAACAATACAAAATTTTTATGGATGAGATATTTAGAAAGTCTCTAGCACAACGTTTGTGTGTGTGTGTGTGTGTTTGGTGAGTTGGCTTGGAAACTAATCCTTTAGCCACATAATTTTAGTATAAGATATTAGTTTTTAAATAATGTAACCGACTTTAAATAAAAAGTTAGATATTAGTTCATATACTTCTCTACTATCTAATTAGAGTAAATGGGTGATGTTTATGGAAGTCTGAATTTTAAGTTCTGATAGTTTTGAATACAGCTGATCTGTTTCATACTTGTGTTTATCACACTTAAAAAGAATATGGTTGATGTCACATTGTGATATATTATCGTATGAGCATACCCCAGAAGGGCTTAGCCAAGTAGGCTGGGAATGCACTGTTCAGTTGTGTAATTGTGGCTGTCAACTTCTTTGGCATTGCGTATTTGAAAATATAATCAACATCTTGTGGTAAGGTAGGATGGATAGTATAATATTGATTATTTGAATTCGTTGCTGTGTTTTGCCATTGTTCTTTCCAATTTATAAAAATTTTATTATAATAATGCAAGTCCTCCAATGGGAATATAGAGTCAAACGTGGGTTGCATCTTTAGCAAGCTGGTCAACCGGTTCATTTCCCCCGATACCAATGTGACTGTATGACCATGTGATTAAATAACTAATATCTTATTTTATTTTTAATAGCACAAAGAATACTATTTCTTTTATGTTGTCATATTTGAGTTTAATCCTTTAATGACCGATAATGAATTTGATATTACTGCTTTATTTAAAATGTGTAAATCTAGCCAATATATATTAAACAATGTGATGGAATTATAGTTTATTCGTCTTCCGGGTTTGGACCGTGTCATTTGTGAGTGACCCAAAAGTGGGTTCATCTCTAGCGAGATGAACCCACTTTTGGGTCACTCACAAATGACACGGTCCAAACCCGGAAGACGAATAAACTATAATTCTGACTCTGGCCGTGGAAGCCTACGATTTCAATGTGATGGAAGTTTCATTTTCAAAGATTCGCTTTTATGTGGAATGTAAACTGTAAATTAAGTAAGACAAAGTTTATTTGTGGGGATTCTGTGTACTTTGGTATAATGACTTTTAGTTTATTTGATGTTACCTGAAAATTAGCTTTATATATTGGTAATCTTTTTTCTTTGTCATAGATATTAGAATACTCAGTTTCTAAGAAATCATCAGCAAGTGGAGGAGAATTTTTTATGTGCCAGTATTTATTTGACAAGTTTTCGATAGATAACTCACACAGTTGGCTAAGTAGATTATTATTATTTAATCTTAGCTTCAGGATATGTTTAATTGCCATAATTTCTAGAGGCATTTCATTACTTTCAGCAAGTAGTACAGGGCAAGGAGTAGACTTGAGGGTGTCCAAACATATTCTTAGACATTTGAACTGAATGCGGTCTACAGTTGTGTTACTGGCAACACCATACAGAATGCAACCATAGTCTACAATAGATCGCACGTAGGCTCTGTAAAGCATCAGTGTAATTTTAGGGTCAGCACCCGATCTACGATTAGTGATACATTTAAGAATATTTATACCTTTTTCACACCTACTCTTTATATCTTCAACATATTTTGACCATAAAAGTTTGCGATCAAGAAGAATGCCAAGATATTTTTATTCTTTGACAATCGGTATATCATATCCAGACAACTTTATTTTGTCAGGCGTACGCATCCTATGTCTAGTGAATATCATTGTGGCTGATTTGTCAGGGGAAATGTCAGTCCATGATTTCTTACCGTTATGGTTTTGCATGATGAATTCCAGAGCCTTCAGGCAGTCAGTATATGAGTTACGCTCTGTATAGATGCATATGTCATCAGCGTATTGGATGCAATTGATTCTGTTGTCAAAAATGCCATGAATACTTGCTGAAAATATGTTGAACAATAATGGACTTAAAACTGATCCTTGTGGAAGACCTGTACGAGCAATTCTAGGAACGTGTAATTGGTTTAAATGATCTTTAATATATATATATATATATTATATATATATATATATATATATATATACCGGGTGGTGAATCGTCAAACGGTCCATAGGAAACTCGATGCGAAATTTTAAATTGTTGAAATGCTGCTTCCATAATTATTTTAGATCAAAAGTCATAAAAAACTATTTGTAGAGGACTAAAATCTGAATTAAAAACCAAAGTTACAGCCGTTCTACGAATCAAATGTACTTGAAAAAATATAATACATTTTTCAGGCCACCCCTAAAAGTTGAGCCACACTAAGTACAAGAATATATATTATGTGTGTGTTTTATCATATTGATGTCAGATGTTTGAGAATTTGAATTGTCAATTTTTTTATTTTATGATTAAATTATAAACAATGACTTTTACTAAATATTACTACTACTAAACAACAAATATTACTTTGTGAACAATAAATTATATTGTTTACAAATCGATCAATATAATGAAATGTACTCAGTTGACGAAAAATTGCATAATGTTATATTCAGGCAATAGCGTGAACCTTTTCCTGCCACTACCGGATCTTTATTTAACGTAAGATATTCTAATACACTAAAATTTAATTCCATGTTAAGTTAATTACTATTTATAACTGGGAATAAGCCACATTAAAGATAAAAATACATTTATTGACGTTTCAATTTCCAATTCGGAAATCGTTCTCAAAATACAAATAGTAAATTAAACAAATTTTGTTTTTTGTTACATAGTGAAAAAATTCTTCTGATAATTTAATTTTATCTGACTCATTTATATTGACAATTCAGACATACAATATGCATTTTAAAGTAGACGACTTTAAAATGATATTGCCAATATTGTTGAGTTGCGCTCCTGGGACGACTTTACTTATAAGATAGTTCATTCGATTACATGAAATCAACTTTAACTTGAGAATATCCGTCAGAAAAAATCATAGCATGTAATTCGTCTTTAAAAAGACAGACACATGACATGATGACAGTAAAATTCTCCTGTTAGTGATTCCATAGTAAATTATGAGGGAAAAACCAGGAAAAAAACCTCATAATACTATCCCGACATTGTAAGTATTTGTTCGTGAATTTAGTTTACCTTCAACAAACATCAAAATTCTGATTTTATGTTACGTTATTTAAAAAACATAAATGATGTATCCTCTATATGTTACTGACTTACTAATACTGGTATTTTCTTATTAATAACTTCCTCTTTCAATATTGGTAACCAGATCCTACTACATTCTGCCGAGGAATTTGCGACACAATTGGCCTCATTTAGCATAATTAGAGCCGCTTCTTTGATTTTTCTTTTTTTACCATCCGTTTCTTTTAGGACTATATTTGAATTATTCCATTGAACTCTATGTTCATTATCCCATGCGTGTTTACATATTTGAGATCTATCAAATTCTCTATTTTTAATATACGATTGATGTTCACTTATTCTAATATTTAATGGCCTTGATGATTCACCTAAATAAAACTGATCGCATTCACAAGGTATTTTATAAATGC